CACTAGAGACAGAGCAGGTGGGCAACAGAATGGGCAGACTGACTGAAACACACTGCTGAGGGGAGCAGCAGGCGAGACAGGAGAGGTCTGCCGAGCCATGTGGGACCCTCGCCGGCCGGTCAGGATCGAACCGGCACTGCAGAGGCTGCGGACAGCTTCACAGTGCGGCGCTCAACCGCCTGCACCACCAGGGGAGGCCCTGAAAATATTTAATCTTAAAAAAAAAAAAAAAAATCCTCTGAGTGAATCTACTCCTTTTCATAGGGAAGAAAAAACTAGGCCCGAGGAGGTAAAGCAGCCTGTTTAGGACCTGACACTGATGTCATTTGGGCCTTTGACTCTTTGGACATCACAAGATTCCTTTGGCCTAAAAAAATCTCCATTTGTGGAGCCCTAGCATTCAGAAGAACTTCCAAATGCCTTGTATCTGTGGCCTGAGGAAAATCCCTCTGCTAGTTAGAGATGTCTCTACTCTAGGAAAGTGCTGAGCCAGCAGCTGTAGACTTGAAGTCAGCAAAAGGACAAGAGCTTTGCTATGAAGATGCCGTTCCCTCACATTATACATCAAGATGCTGGAGGACTGAACCAGTGATAAGCTGTATGGACCAGCCTCAGGTCTGCGGAAGCACACTCCAGCATAAAAAGAAATCTTTTCTTTTCTTTTTTTTTTTAAATTAAATTTGTTTTCTTACCTCATTGTTCATTTTTGCGCAGTCTATCATTTCTCTCCTCAGGTGTAGTCCCCATAATTCCACCATCACAGCACCTGTGATCCATCACCACAGTCCCTTGTGCTCTTGTCCTCCCCTGTTTTGACCCCTCGCCCTGACCTCCTGCTGTAGCTGCAGATCTGTGGTCAGCTTGAAGTTTCATATTTTTCCTGACCCTTTGTTCTGTTAGAAAGAAATCTTTATAAGCCTCAGTTCTTGTGCTTTTCATACAAACAGAAAATGTCTGACTCTGCAGGTGACTAGTTTTGATATTATATATAGCATTTGTCCTTTTTTATTAACCAGAATGTAGCCTTTATCTCTGCTGTATAAAGAATTAAGTATCTCCTTCTGTGATACCTGCAAAACTGTATATAATTGAGGCATCTGAAGGGTGGACCAACACTCAGAAATCTGATACTGCCTCTACAGCTTTGAATCCTCTGAATGTATCTCTTGTTAACCTGGGGAGTACATGAGGGTGGGAGGTGGGCACCATCCCTGGTCTTCCCTGGCTGAGCTGCCTGTGCACTGAGGGGAACCTGAACCGTGCTGCAATGCCCTCTGTGCCAGTGTGGAAATATTACAGAAGGTGGTGTCTTTTAGCTTCAGGCTGATTGGGCTCCCCTCAGACTTGCAGAAGCTGACATGCTATCTCAGGACCACAGACCTGTCCAAAGCTGAGAGTTAGCACCTACAGCCTACTATTCTGGGAAGTTCACTCTGCCAAAGACCTTTGCCTTGAACAACAAACTATCTTTGCAGTTGAGTTATGTAGTTTGAAAAAACTAGAGACTTAAACAACAATGATTTAAGAGCAATACCTTTGAGGAACTTTCTGCGGGCAAGACCCCGAGCCTCTCTGACCAACCCAATATTGTAGACTATTAGAAGTAGTGGATCTCTCCAGAAACCAGACTTGGAGTATAAATGACATAGTGGTGGACCTGACAGGTCATGCAACTCAACCCCAAGATATCTCACATCTTAGTAAAGATATTTGTCTTTACCTTGAAGTTCTTCACTTGGAAGAGAACTGTCTTGAGCTCAGCTTGCACAAGGTATTCTCAATTATTCCTAGATCTGTCTGTGGAAGGTAAAAGAAACTCCAAGAACTGGAAGGCTTTGATAAGTAGGAGAGGTTCATGGCCACCAAGAAGCTTGCGTGATGTTTTCTAGAAGCACAGTTACAGGACACAGATTTGCAGTCTGACTGAATCAAAGGTCCCTGTAATTGTCAAGGGTATTTGCACTGGGAGACGACACCCACATTATATTTCACTCTGATCTTTTTTTTCTATCCAGGGCTCTCTCAAATAAGCTAAGAGGAATCAAAGGGTAGGAGGAGTCTTCCACTTTGAGTGATGGATAAGTTATAGGACAATGTTGATCAGGGTAAAGGACCAATGTTGATCTTCAAAACTGTCAGCTAACCAGGAGCTGGTTGCTACTTGTGCAGTGAAGGAATGCTGCGGAAACAGCACTCCACCCGGTTATTTGAAATTCCACCTTTAGTTTCAGTGTGTGAGCTTTCATAAGGTCAGTTGCCATTCTATCTCTGTGATAACAGTTCATATTTTTATGAAATTCATATAATTGGTGAGAGATTTCTATGGTTAATTGAAGCCTTTATTATTTTATCCCAGTCCATCAGTTTGATTGTAGTGTTTTGACTTGGAATTTAGGATGTACATAAATGTGACTGGTTTATATATATACATATATATTTATTTTACATCATTTTTCATTTTTGCACAATGTATCATTTTAATCTTGGTTATAGTCCCCATACAATTCCCACTCCCCTTATTTTGATCCTAATCCCTCCTCCCCCGCCTGGAGTGTGTCTCTGGTTTATAGTTGTTTGTTGATTTTAATTTTTACTTTATTATAATTAGTCTTTTTCCTGGTCCCTTATTTAGGTTTTCTAAATTCCTGCTATGAGTGAGACCATCCAGTATTTTTCTTTTTCTTTCTGGCTTATTTCGCTGAGCATGATCCCTTCCAGCTCCATTCATATTGCTGCAAATTGCGTGAGTTTATCTTTTTTGATTGCTGAGTAATATTCCATGGTGTATACATATCACATCTTCTTGATCCAATTATCTGTTTTTGGGCATTTGGGTTGTTTCCAAAGCTTAGCTATTGTAAATAGTGCTGCTATAAACAAAGGGGTGCAGGTGCCTTTTGGAATTAATGTTTCTGTATCATTTGGGTAAATACCTAGGAGAGCAGTAGCAAATTCTTAACTACTGGTTAAGAATTATTGGTAGAGGGCTACGAAGAGTTAAAACCATAAACTCAAAGATTGTAAGTGACAAAGTTTTTTTATAATGAAGATTTCCATGAAACTTTGTTAGAATGCGTCTTATTTCTGGTAATCCTGTCCCCTTTTTGTATATGTAACTGTACTAATTACCTATCAAAAAAACCCTCGTGTTTACCAAGTTTATTCTGAGTGGGAGAATATCCTAAATAAAGAATTTTTAAAAAAAGATTTATTTATTTATACAAGCACTGGGTACAGTCAGAAGCGCAGGAGGGTGAGAGAATTCACCAGAGCCAGAGCGGGGAACAGAACAAGCAGACTGATGAAATACACTGCTGAGGGGAGCAGCGGGCGCGGCAGGAGAGGTCTGCATGCCATGTGGGACCCTCGTAGGTGGCCAGGGATCGAACCGGCGCAGCAGAGGCTGCGGGCAGCTTTGCAACCCAGCGCTCAACCGCTGCACCACCAGGGGAGGCCCCAAAATAAAATTTTTAAGGACAAGTAAATATCGGGCCTCCCTGGCGGTGCAGGTGGTTGAGCGCAGCACTGAGAAGCTGTCTGCAGCCTCTGCAGTGTGGGCTCGATTCCCGGCTGACCAGGGAGCTACCCACGTGGCGCAGCAGACCTCTCCTGTCCCGCCCTCTGCTCCCCTCAGCAGTGTATTTCAGTCAATCTGCCTGTTCTGCTCCCCACTCTGTCTCTGGTGAATCCTCTTGCCCTCCTGAGCCTCTATGAATTGTTTCAAGGGTGATTTTTCCAGTGAACATGCTCTATGCTTTCTACCTGGGATCCCATCAGAGCTGGCCATAGCTCCCGCACTTGCTTCATGGAGACCAAGAGGTGCAGGCTGAATTCAGGTCATTTACCTTTTTCTCACAAATTGCCTCAAAACCCAAAGCTGAAGTTAAAATGCAATGACCTAGTGATGAAGAATTTTTCTTTTCTCTTTGTTTTCCTGAAATCCACCCTGAAATGTTGCCACGTTTGGCGACCGAAGCAACGCGTTGCTCCGCCTTCACCTCTGCAACCCTGGAAGTCGTACCTGCTCCCGGCTCTGCACACCTGTCAGGGGCCCTGGTCAGCAAGGGCAACAGCCCCGCGCGATCCGGGACACGTGTGCGATGGGCGCCCCCCACTTCTTCATCTGGGAGGGAGTTCCTGGCCACGTGCAGCGGGGCTGGGGGGGGCGAGGATCCGCGCCCTTGCTGGGGCGGGACACCGGCCCCCCGGCCTCGAGCCGCCGCCCGCAGCCTCCGCAGCAGCGTCCCGGGGCGGCGCGGGGCCCACGGGGTCCACGGGGAGGGGCGGCCGAGGCGCGCGGTTCCGTCCCGGGGACCGTCCCGGGGGCTCCCGCGGCGGTCGGCTCGCGCTCCGCGGCGGGGCGGGGTGGGGGGCGCTGGACCCCGGCCGCTGGCCCCGCCCCCGAGCGGTCCCCTGGTCCCCGCGCCGCGCCCGTCTGGAAACGCGCGGCAGGTCCCAGCCCAGGATCTCCCGGCCCCGCCTGCGCGCCGCGGGCACCGGCCGGGTGGGGGGGCCGCGGGGAAGGCGGGGGTGGGGGGTGGGCGGTGTCTCGTCTGCTGCAGGCAGCGTCGGCCCGGACGCACCGTCTCCCCGACGTCACCTGCTTTTCTGGGTGAATTTCGGGCCAGAGCGAGGACGCCGGGCAGGCCGGGCGGGGACGGGCCCGGGGCGCGGAGGGCGCGGGGGGCTCGGGCTGCAGAGTCCGGGCTCGCGCGCCCCGCCCCGCCCCGGCGCCAGCCCCGCCCCCGCCCCGCCCCGCGCCGTCCCGGCCAATCAGCGCGCGGGCCAGAGCCCCGCCCCCGCCGGGGCCTTAAACGCGCGGGCCGCGAGCCGCGCCCCGCAGTTGCCCCCGGGCCTCCCGCGCGGCCCCGGAGAAGCGGGCGGTGCCCCCGGCGTCCCGCGCCCCCCGCCCCCCGCGCCCGCCCGCCTCCCTCCCGCGCCCCCGAGCCCGCCGCGCCCGCCCCCGCGCGCTCCCGGCTCCCGTCCCCGCGGCCGGCGCGATGCGGCTGGGCCCGAGGCCCGCGGCGCTGGGGCTGCTGCTGCTGTGCGCCGCGGCGGCCGGCGCGGGGGACGCCGAGGACCCGCCGCGCCCGCAGGGCCAGCACCGCGCCGACTACGACCGCGAGGCGCTGCTCGGCGGCCAGGTGAGGCCGCGCCCGGGCCGCCGCCGCGGGCTTTGTCCCGGACAAAGAGGCCGGGCCGGGCCTGGGCGGCCTGACGGAGGGCCGGGCGGGGCTCCGCTCCCTCGCGGGGGACCCCGGCCCCCCCGACCCCCGGCCGAGGGGAGCGCGCGGCCCGGGACCCCCGGCCGAGGGGAGCGCGCGGCCCGGGACCCCCGGCTGAGGGGAGCGCGCGGCCCGGGAGCCCCGACCCCCGGCTGAGGGGAGAGCGCGGCCCGGGAGCCCCGACCCCCGGCCGAGGGGAGCGCGCGGCCCGGGACCCCCGGCCGAGGGGAGCGCGCGGCCCGGGACCCCCGGCCGAGGGGAGCGCGCGGCCCGGGACCCCCGGCTGAGGGGAGCGCGCGGCCCGGGAGCCCCGACCCCGGCTGAGGGGAGAGCGCGGCCCGGGAGCCCCGACCCCCGGCTGAGGGGAGAGCGCGGCCGACGCGCGCCCGGGCGGGAGGGGTGGAGAGGGTAGGGGTCCTGGGGAGCAGGTGTGGGTTACCCCGAAATCCTCCTGCAAGGGCGGGGTCTGGCAGCCCCGTTTCTCCCCGCGCGTTGCCCGCGGCGGCGGGGCCCGACCCTGCGCTTTGCTCGCCCCTGAAGGAAGAAGCGGACGAGTACGTCAAGCTCGCCCCCGAGGAGCAGCAGAGGCGGCTCAAGGCCATCGTCAGGAGGATCGACCTGGACGCCGACGGCCTCCTCGCCGAAGGTAGGCCCCGCGCCCGACCCGCGCCCGAGCCCGCTGTGGCCCGCGGAGCAGACACGTCGCAGCCGCGGCGCCGAGACCAGTCACTGTGGGAGGGAGACCCCGGAGAGGGGGTGGTTAAGCTTGGGAACCTTTAAGGGCATCGAGTAAAACTGGCTGCCCCAGTAACAACAGCACCATCCACCCCCACACTCATGCACAGGCCGCACCTTGGACAAAAACACCTGTTCCTCACCTGCTTTTAATCAAGGTCAGCATCTGATTCTTTCAGAGAAGTGTGCCAAATTCAGTCTTCAGGCATTAAATGATTTATTGCTCTTTTGATATATCCCTCATTGGAATTTTAAGAATTTGCTTCCTTTAAAGTAAGGAGAAAAAAGCCTGTTGCTTGTGAATTATGTTTACCACAAAACATCACATATAGTAGGGCCTTAGATTCATCTTGTCCAATTCTCTTCATCCAGCAGTGAGTGCCTTTCTCAAATGAGTGGTAAGGCCTGGACTAAAATCCCAATCTTTTACTTATAATTCAGTTTTTAATATTCTTCACTTAAAAAAAATTTGAATGCTCTTAGGTAGGTTCTCTAGTTAGAAATGACATGCACAGATTATTTTTTTAAATATTCTAGATAAATTGCTGTGTACCAGCTTCTCCTCATTGCTTAATTCAAGTAATGAACCCTATCCACTTTGCAGGTGATCCTCAAAAAAAAAATTCTCTTTTGCTATAATTCATATTGAAAGGCTCAGCATCTAAAGAATGAAGTTACTTGAGAAAGAATTGCAAGCTGGTAAATTTAAGATGTGTTGTCAAATTATTCACGTTGGTATCTCATGAGCACTAAAGTTTTGATTCCTGCCACTTCAACAACAACAAAACGTTTGGACTAATTTTCCAATAAGAAGTAGTCCCTCATTGATTGTACTAGAAACACACACAGAACAAGTTGATGTGGAATTTTATTGTGGTACCTGTCTGTAAGGTCCCAGGTGTGTTCTAGTATTTGATAATGAACTTTAAAAAAAATAATAAAGTTAAAGGAATTCAGTCCATATCTTCATATAGATGACAAACAGACAAACAAAAAAACCTTGAGGTAAACTCCAAAATCACAGAGCTGAAATGTGAACCCCCATTTCTGGTCCCTGTTCTACTTTGGCTCCCATTATGTTATGCTGGGTCTCTTTAAATAAACTACAAGAAATTGGGCCTCCCCTGTTGGCGCAGCGGTTGAGCACTGGGCTACGAAGCTGCCAGCAGCCTCCACAGCATCAGTTCAGTTCGATCCCCAGCTGCCAGCGATCCCAGGCTGCCAGCGAGGGTCCCAAATGGCATGCAGACCTCTCCTGCTGTGCCCGCTGCTCCCCTCAGCAGTGTATTTCGTCAGTCTGCCTGTTTTGCTCCCCACTCTGGTTCTGGTGGATTCTTTCACCCTCCCATGCTTCTGACTGTACCCAGTGCTTGTATAAATAAATAAATAAATCTTTAAAAAAAAACTACAAGAAACCCCTGTTTTACTTGAGGACTATTTAGGGAATTTTACTAATTTGTACTTTAAGGGTCAGGACTGGGTCAGGTTATTCTTAGTGGAAGGACTTTGGGTTTCAAATATAAGCTTGAATCTAGACTCTCCTATTTACAAAGTGCGAGTCCTCAATTCCATACCTCAATTCTCTGAACTTTAAAAAAGTAAAATATAATTGTTTTTTATTGAAGATTAGAGACAGCACGTGTAGAGGACCTGATGTATAGAAATTGTTCAGTACACAGTTGTCATCATAATTATTCTGTCTTGAGTTAGTGTCTTTACTTTTTAATTTATCTGACTCCCCCAAACCAATACAGTACCATTCTGAAAATTAATCAGAATAGTAACTTGAAACCAGATGGTATTCTGCTGCTGTCCTTGCAAAATATTCATGTTCTTCTCCCCCCTTCCCCACTTTTTCTTATAATGCAGTATAGTGAAAATCGTCATGAATAGATTTTTAAAAGATAACACAAAAGTGGACATTTGAGATTTTGAGACTTTCCCCCGATATCTTAAGGTACCCAGTTAAGAGAAATATTTGTGCTTCCTGAAAAATCTAATAGTTAGCAAAGGTTAGTTGCAGTTTTTTGGATGATATTTTTTAAAAGTCAGATGCTATGTTGGCCAGTTGGTAATTCATGTAACAATTCTTTCTTTTTTTTTTTTTTTTTTTAAGATTTATTTATTTATTTATACAAGCACTGGGTGCAGTCAGAAACGCGGGAGGGTAAGAGAATTCACCAGAGCCAGAGCGGGGAGCAGAACAGGCAGACTGACGAAGTACACTGTTGAGGGGAGCAGCGGAGGCAGCAGAAGAGGTCTGCACACCATGTGGGATCCTCACCCAGGGGCCGGAGCCTCCAGGGAGGCCCACAATGTAACAATTATTTCTTAAGCCAGGCTCTTTCTAGGCATTTGGAGTACCTCAGTGAACAAAACATACCACAAATTCTCTGTACTTGAGGAGCTTCCATAGTATTTAGATCCCGTATTAGAATATTCTTAGACTCCAAACAGCTCTCCCTTCCTCCTACTCCTAGTTCTGTGAATACAACTAGGAAAATTATCTTTGCAAGCAAGGAAGATGTTTTTCTTCTTTTAAAGAAAGTTTAGAAATCCTCTCTTCAAGTATCAGGATTGCTGTCACATTTTGTTGTGTTCTGGGAAATTCTCATAGGTGAACTCAGCTTATGGATTCAGATGTCTTTCAAGCATTATGCTATGCAAGAAGCAAAACAACAGTTTGTTGAATATGATAAAAACAATGATGGTAGCGTGTCATGGGATGAATACAACATTCAGATGTACGATCGTGTGATCGACTTTGACGAGGACACTGCTCTGGCTGATGCAGAAGAGGAGTCTTTTAGGCAGGTGAGTGGATGTGCAACTGCTCTTCCTTCTGACCATCTCAGTGCCTTTACCTTTCCGCATGAATGAGCGCAGGGGCTCTGAACTTGTAGACTGTATTGCCTCTTTCTCTAGGCAATTGCCTGCTCCATTTCAGTGATCATTTTATGGTTTCCTGTTTAACAAGATTTAGGGCTCTTATTCTGGACAGCCTAAAGTATCCTTCCTTCTGGTGTTCTCAGCTTCATCATTTGCCTTAATTTTCAGAATTGCTTTTTTAATGTATATTGAATATGTATCTCAATTTTTAAATGTTTTTACTGAACACTCTTATTTAAGAATGCTATAGAGGCCCATTCCTGGTTTTAAACATAGTTTAATAAAATAACTAAATCAGAGTTTTTTTAATTGTAGTAAAATGCGTATAACATAAAATTTATCATTTAACCATTTTGAAGGGTGGAGTTCAGTAGTATTAGCTATTAGGTACAAACGTATTATGCCACCCATCTCCAGAACTCTCCTAATCTTGCAAAGAATTCTTCATCTAAGCCCCTTAAACAGCTCTCAATCCCTGTCCTCCAACCCTTGAAAACCATCATTCTACTTTCTGGCTCTGAATTTGACTACTCTGGGAATATCAGTGAATTCATGCAGATTTTTTGGTGACTAGGTTATTTCACTTAATGTAATGTCCTAAAAGTTTGTCCATGTTGTAGCCAGTGTCAGAGTTTCCTTTTTTAAAAACTGACTACTGTGTGTGTGTGTGTGTGTGTGTGTGTGTGTGTGTGTGTGTGTGTGAGTGAGAGAGAGAGAGAGAGAGAGAGAGAGATCCACATCGGTGTCATCTGTTGCTGGGCACTTAAGTTGCTTCAACTTTCTAGCTATTGTGAATAGTGCTTCTAAGAATATGAGTGTGCAAATACCTCTGAGACCTTGCTCTTGATTCTTTTGGGTATATACCCCAAATGGAACTGCTGAATTATATAATTCTATTTTAAATTTTTTGAGGAACTGTCTTCCACAGAAGCTGCACCATTTAAAATAACTCATTTTTTAAGACTTAGTATCACTGACCTTTTGTGTATCATGGTTTAGTTTGTTGAATATAAATACTTAAGCAGAACCAAGGAAACTAATTTCTATTTAGGGATTTATTAAATAAAGACTTAACTTAGTAATTGTGAGAGAAACTTTTCAAGACAGATAACTTGAGAAGCTTGAAAAGCTGCTATTTCAAACACTTGTATTTCAAAGGTAATTTTTAAGATTTTTTTAAAAATATATTTTAAACACCTTTTTTACAAAATACAGCAGGTCTTCAAATAATGTTATTTTGTTGTAACTTAATGACAGAAAAGATCGTTTCCTGGCTGAGGCCATAATCTAAGTAGAATTTTGCAGTTTTTCCCATGTCTTTGTTTGTTTTCTCCAGGTACCCTAGTTTCCTCCCATAGCCCAGAGATGTGTGCATGCAACTCACTGGTGTGTCTCCAGTGTTCTAAGTGTGGGTGTCTGTGAATGTGCCCTGTGAGGGAAGGGCATCCCATCCAGGGTTAGGTCCCACCTTTTGCTTTGAGCTTCTCCGGGTAAGGTTTTGCCACCTGAGGCCCTGAACTAGAATAAGTGGGCTGGAAAATGAATGAACGAATGAATGAATTAATACAATTTATTATTTAATGTTTAAAGTGTTTTGGTCTTTATTTAGAAGTTTGGTGATATTTTGGTGACCAAAAATACATGAAAATTAACTCTTGTTTATATCAGGTTTTAGCCTATGGTAAAACTGGTTTTGTAAAACTGGTCTTGTTTTGTTGCATTTCATTTCACTGAAAATTCCAGAGAACCCATCTGTGAGGTTAAGTGAGGACTTCAGGGGTGCTTATGATATGTGATACACTTGAGTTTCTTTTCTTTCTTTCTTTTATTTTTTTTTAAGATTTTTTATTTACGCATATAAGAACTGGGGTATAGGCCAGAGGTGCAGGGGGGTGAGAAGTTTCACCAGAGTCAGAGTGGGGAGAAGAACAGGCAGATCTACTGAAATACACTGCTGAGGGGAGCAGCGGGAGAGACAGGAGAGGTCTGCTGCACCAAGTGGGTTAGCTCCCTGGCTGGGGATCGAACTCATGCTGCAGTGGCTGGTAATAGCTTGTTAATGCTGAGACTTTAACCACTCTGCCACCAGAGAGACCCCACTTGAGTTTCTTACATTCCTTAACTTATCCCATGATTAATATCTGCCTTTTAGTTTTTATTTTACCCATATTTTTTCATTGTACCTGCTGTTTGTTTTGGAATCACATTGACAGCTTGCGTTCTCTAGGCCATGACTGGCTCAGAGTTGGTTGTTTCTCTGTAACTATGGTGCATGTGCCACCAGTGTGAGATTAAGAGCTCCAGCCTGGAGCCACACTGTGTGGCCTTACATGCAGCTATACCACTTAACAGTTGTGCAGATTTGGGTACATTGTTAAGCCTCCTTATGCCTCAGTTTCCTCATGTCTAAAACTGGAGATAAGAATAGTATGGTGAAACAGTATTAAGTAGTGGCAGTTAGACAGGTCAACTGTTCTATGACGAGTTAAAAGAACATTGTTAAAGAAAGCATGTGTGATTCACATTAACTACATAGTTAATATTAAGTAATTGAATCAGCTTTTAGAAATTGTTTAGGCATTTGTTAATATCAGGTTTTGATGTTAGGATTTTTCCTTTTTTCTCCTTGTTAGGGTCTGCCTTCACTTAAAGCAAACTGAAGAGAGAATGAATCAGTCTTCACTACTTAGTGCTAAAAAGAAAGCAAATGATGATAATGAAGTTTGACATTTATCTATCTACATACGAGGTGTCCCCCTTTTAGTATAGGAATGAAGTTATCTTAAAAGCTTCATTTGAGTTCTGACACATATAAAATCCAATCAAAGTAAGATATTATGACTTCCCTGCCAGGAAACAACACTAGATTTCAGTTGTGCCCCCTCCCCACTTTTTTTTTTTTTTGTCAAAGAAAAGATTTAATTACTATCCCACAAAAAAATAAGAAGTGTTTGTGTGGTTTTTTAAATATGTGGCAGGGAAGGTGATATAATAGGCGGTGGTGTTAAGAAAATCTTCACTTTGAAGTGATACATGACTCATTAATATAAACTGTCTATGGACAATTTTTCTTTTAAAAGATCTGGTTCTAATGCTTTGTTTCCAATCTGGGTACAGAGTATGTGTTGATGATAAGACTCTACTTTTTTTAAGAATAAATAATCTGTATTTCATAGGCTAAAGGAATAAATGGTTCCCTAAAATGAACACTCCTCAGTGGGAGTCCTGTTGGTCATTCTTTGACAACCTAGGGATATGTCTCTACATGATGTTCTAGAAGTATTTTATTAGAATTTGTTATATATAACCCCCCTGAAGTGGACTTGATGTAGAGAAACTGTACATTATTCTTTAAAATAAAAAATTGGAAGAAGAATGACTGTCTTAATAAAAATTAAAAGCTAAATATTAGACCATAAATAAAATTATTATAAAAAATAATTGGACACCTAAATAAAATTAAAATTTCTTATATGTACCCCTATTTAAAAACAAAATGAGTTTAATGCCTGAATTTATCTTATTTTTTTAATACGTTTCCATATACAGAATAGAGATAAGCTGACCTTCTCAGGCAATGAAGTGCCTGAAAAAGCATTTCTTTATGACATGAACAATTGTAGTCAGCACTTTTAAGCAGGATAATTAAAGTTTGGGGACCTACCTGGCAAGAGTTCAGTTGCTCTGACTTTTAAGTCAGCTGCTGAATGTGCAAGTAGAAGCAGTATTAATTTATGTAAGATGTAATCTTGCATGTGGCTAATCAGAATTTTAAAACCTAGACTTTATTCTGATATCACAGGTTATGTTATTTCCTCATGTAAAATCATTTGTCTACCAAAAGATGGCAGTTTTGTTCTTTGCAAGTTTCTGTTACTATATAAAAATGGTTATGATAATTTCTGTCTTCATAAAACCTTCACTAGAATATAAGGTTTTTATACAGGAGAAAAACTGTTGAGGTTTTGTGCAACTGACAATTCTTTTGTTGTTATCTTTTAGAAATTAAAAAGAAAAACTGTATTATCTTCTTTATGTTAATGAGTTGCTCTTGAACTGTATTCTTCAAATAACCATGGATAAACTGCTTTTTTAAATCATGTTATTTCACTTTATTTTAAAAATTTGAAAAATGTGAACCAGTAAACTGTTTTCCTTCTTTTTTAAAAAAAGAAACCTCAGCCTGTTGAAAGGGACCCTTTCTTTCCATAGGCAAACTTGGCCAAATTCAGCTCCCTCTGCTGAAACATGGACCTTTCTGCTCCAAATTGAAGGGTTCTTTCATAAGGAAATCTAAGCACTTAGTCTTTTGAATAGTGGTTTATTCAAAAAGAACTTGATTGACTCAACAAAGTACCTCAAGTTCTTGTTTGTCTACTTTCCCCCATGTTAAACCTGACCATAAAATGCAAATTATTTTGGTCAAATTTAAAATTATGAAACATTAACTTGAAAGCAGTTATTTGAAAGCAAGTCCCTCCCCCATCCCATCCCCACTCCCATCATAATAGGGTGAGTATAACTAGCTAGAGGAATGTGAATGTTTAAAAGATGAATTCTTTGGGGGAGAGATGAGCCTTTCCACTCTCATTCATTGTAAAAGAAACTAGTGTTTTAGTAAGTGACTTCTACCTGACCTCTAGTCTAAAAATCTGAAAAGAGCCTTTTAAACAATGAAACACATAAATTAAAAGCTTTTAAAAGTTGTGCTTTTAAAAAATGTGCGGTTTAATACTTACGTTTGTAAGGTTATTCCCAGAAATTCTCAAAACAGAATTTATTCACATGAGCATTCTGCCACTTTAGGCTTCTAAGGCTCTTGATTACAAAATTACCTTTTTGAGAAACTCATTAAAAGCAGTGTTGTCCCTAAAAGCTGTTACTAATTGTGCATATTTGGGGGTGGGGGAAGGAAAATGTGATAAAGTAGAGAAGGGTATATTTTTTTCCTCCTGCTTAGAATCTTTTTTTCCCCTACCACCATCCCTAATATCCCCTTGTCCTTTTCTCCCTCCCTCTCCTTTTTAACCTCAGAGCCCTCATGGTATTTATTAATGTTTTATAGTTTTTTTAAGTATTTTACTTTATCAAATCCTCGTTGCCTAAATGTCCATTAGTTATTTTTGTCATTGTGACTTGCTTCACTCTGCATAATTCCTACAAATTCCCTTCATTTTGGTCAAGATGACTACATTCCATAGTGTGGGTCACATCTTCTTGACCCAGTCCTCTTATTGCTGGGTATTTAGACTGCTTCCACATCCTCGCTATTATGAATAATGCTGCAGTAAACATTGTAGAGCATATATTTTTGTGTTGATTGTTTCATATTCTTTGGCTAGATGCTAAAAGGTGGGATTGCTGGGTTGTACAAATTACTTCCCATAATTGCTATACTAGTTTGCATTCCCACCAACAGTGTAATAGGGTTCCTCTCCTCCCCCACCATCTCTAGCACTTGTTCTAAGGGGTCTTTTTAATATGTGCCATGCATCTCATTGTGGTTTTTAACCTCCATCTCTTTATCAAAAGTAATGGTGAACATTTTTTCATAGAAAAGAGTATATTTGTTGAACCTCAGGATGGGTCCATTTTGGACTTTTGATGTGTTTATATCTGAACATCCAGAATTATTACAAAATGCTTACTAAGAATAGACTTCCAAATATCATATACATGTATCAAAAGTGTTTTCACAAGACAATTATTTTTCTGAAATCTGTTAAACCTATTTTTGAAAAGTAATTTCCAAAACCAGAAACAGTTGGAGAAATGGTATACTAAGAATTTACATGTAGTCTAAAGAAGTATAGAGATGGTTAAAGAAGATGCTGTGTGATACTGTAGACAGAACAGGGAGAATGCAAGATCAAGTGCTTTCATGACATCTTGTAATCTCAGCTTTTTATTGTCAACAATAGTAATATGTAACATTTAGTATTTAATACTTAAGGTTTACTAATTGCTCTTAGGGAATCTCATCCCAATTGCTTAATAGAGTTTTTGGTCCCAATTTTATAATTGGAGAAACCAAAAAAGATGAAGCAATTGGCCCTCGGTAGCACAGATGGAAAGTAGCAATGCTGGAAGCCAGGCCTGAGTCTGACCCTGGAGCCCGTGTCACTGCTTCACCACATCTAATACATGTTTGTTATTTGCCCTCTTGAGCTTCATAGAGGTGATGTGACGATAATGTAAGATTATGTATGGGAATGTACTTTACACTTCACAGTTTGTGTTTTTCAAAGTATTTTTAATGATGTTATAGATGAGACCTTTAAACATGTCAATATTTAATTTTCAAAGCTTCATTTAAAGGACAAGAAGCGATTTGAAAAAGCTAACCAGGATGCCAGTCCTGGTTTGAATCTTGAAGAATTTGTTGCTTTTGAACATCCTGAAGAAATTGATTACATGACGGTAAGGAAGATAAAAAACTAGGAAAATTAGTGACCAAAACTTTAAAACCTGTTTTTACTAAGTCATTAAAATGAATTCTGTAGCGATTTTAAGAGACCGGAAGATGTAAAGCCGACAGGCCCCCTTAACGTTCGAAGTGAGCAGGGAGGTTTCTGGTGGGGAGGGCCAGCACAGTGCTTATTAAAGGGCTGAGGGCTTTCCAGATCACTGATCTTATGAGCAGCCATCTTCTCCTGGCTGTTTTCTCTCTCACAGCCACATCACCTTCAGCACGTTCCTTGTCTTTATGTAGCTTGCAGATTTTTCTGTTTCTTCACTAGAGTGAGTACTTATTTTAAGACATCACTTGTAAAAGCTTTCGGACTGAAAAACCTCTCACTTTTGGAATGCTTTTCATGGTGAGGCACAGCTGCTAATGCTGATAACATTTCAGCGATTTCTCTTATCCATTTAGTACTTAGAGGAAGATGTAGCTCTTTAAAAATTGTGTTGAACTCTAGGTTTAAGTCGGCAAACATTGATTGAGTCCGTACTATGACTTTATAAGCTTCTTGAGAGCACAAAGTGTCATATTTGGAGGATAAAGATTAATATAACAAATGGAATTTCAAAATAGACTAAACATTTATGTTGAAGTCCATTGCCTGGCATCAGCCCCCACTGTGTGGCTTGAATCCCTGATATTTCAGGGAGAAAAGATGGAGCTTATTATTTAATGGATCATGGTGGGAGCTGTTGGCCATGAGTAATAAAGAACGGGTGCATTGTTCTCCAATGCAAGACACTGCCACTAGTGCCACTTCTCTTGCCATTGTGAGGCTTCTGATTTATCACTTGGCACAAAACATATGACCTAGTTTAAGAGCAGTGCTGGCCACATTTTGTTGAAGTGCCAAAGTTTAGTTGAGCCCTAGAATGGCAGGCAGAGGGTGCTGGCTCTTGATTCTCTGGGGAATAAGGAGCGATGGAAGACAGGAAGGGAATCACAACTGAAGGCAGTGAAATAATTTAGGCATTATGTGAGATGGCACTGGAGTATGATTTGGCAATGGAATAACAGAGACTTGAGCAACATTTTAAAGAAAGTGTGAGCAGGAATGTTGACTCACAAGTAAGTTGGGCAGGGAAGAGCCAGACATGAATGAGAATTTGAGCTTGTGTAACAATGATACAAAGGTAGTGCCGCTGACAGGATGTAATATGTCTAGAGAGAGAAGAATGCTCTTGCATTGAGTTAGAGGTGATGGCAGCACATAAGATACGTAGCCATAAAATGGTGTCTCATTCAGAGTTGCTTCATTAATCCCTGTTTATCTCAGTGGGTTTTTGTGTAGTTTTCCCCCTTTTAAGAGTGTATTTGAGGGCCTCCCCGGTGGCGCAGCGGTTGAGCGCTGGGTTGCGAAGCTGCCCGCGGCCTCTGTGGTGCCGGTTCAATCCCCGGCTGCTCCCCGGCCACCGGAGGAGGGTCCCACATGGCACGCAGACCTCTCCTGCCGCCCGCTGCTCCCCTCAGCAGTGTACTTCGGTCTTTCTGCCTACTCTGCTCCCCGTTCTGTCTCTGGTGAATTCTCTCACCCTCCCGCGCTTCTGACTGTACCCAGTGCATGTATAAACAAAAACAAACAAACAAACAAATAAAACGCCTCTATTTAAAAAAAAAAGAAAGAGTGTATTTGATAGCGGGTGCAAGATCCAACTAAGTCATTCTACTTTGGATTGAAAGTCAGAATTTAAGTGTTTTAACCATACAGTATTGTTGAAATAAGTTTGTTGTTTCCCGAGAGGTATAGCTTTCCTGGAAAGATCACATTTGCTCATACAAAATATTGAATTATAATTTCAGAAGATTCTCAGATCTTCCCTTTAAAATAATCTTTTGATCTCCAGGTTAAGATTCTCTGATTTCTGTATATAAAATCTGTAACATTTGATTTCAGGGGAAAAAAACAATAACTTGTATCTAAATCCAGTTTCATACAGATCTAGATAAAGCACATGAATTTGGCTAGAATTAGAGACTTTTGAGAATATATCTTCATTCAAGTAGTAATGCTAGAATCCAGATTGAAAGGATTTAGGGAGGCCACAGATGGTGAGGAAATGAGAGCAGCAGGTATAACTTGTGAGAGGCTTGCAAGGAAGAAAAGAAACTGTTAAGGAGTGCAGCAAAGTTGTGGGCACTTGAGTATGTTTTTTTTTTTTTTTTCTTTAAAGATTGATTTATTTATTTATACAAGCACTGAGTACAGTCAGAAGCGTGGGAGGGTGAGAGAATTCACCAGAGCCAGAGCAGGGAACAGAACAGGTAGACTGATGAAATACACTGCTGAGGGGAGCAGCGGGTGCGGCAGGAGAGGTCTGTGCGCCATGTGGGATCCTCACCGACTGCCGGGGATCAAACTGGAGGGGCAGCTTCACAGCCCAGTGCTCAACTGCTGCGCCACAAGGGGAGGCTCCACTTGAGTTATGTTTAGAGACTGAGAAGGAGTTGATGGAAATGAGATCGGAGCCTTGGGCGGGGCCAGAAAGGGTGAAAGCAATCAGCAAGTGAGAATGTGGGAGCTAGAAAGGCTGCTGATGACTTTGCCCTAGAGAGGGAGTACTAGCTTTTACTCTTAAGATCAAAGAGAAGAATAGCCAAAAAATAAAGGTCATTAAATGAGAGGATGCAGTGTTGGCTAACAAGGAAGCATTTCAGGAAATTGTTTCAAATTTGGAAAAATGGAGAGTCTTTGCCAAGAGAGTGTTGGAGAAGACTGAAGTAAGACTCAAAGACATTTCAAAAAACAAATGTAGAGTGTGTATGTTGGGGAAACTGAGGCAGAAATGGACTTCCAAGCTGTTGTGAGAGCCCACTGAAATGTCAGGAATTAATTTATAAGGGCTAGGTTTATATTACGTCTTTTTCTTTTAGAGTTTGTGATTCTGAAATAAAAGAAGGTGACATGAGTCTGATGTACAGGGTGGGGGTTGGCATAGTAAGAACAGAACACTAGAAGATGCCAGGAGATACTAAGGGAGGTACCACCCACTGGCTGTGAAACAGGTCGTGCAGGGCCAAGTGTAAATAGAGAGAGGGGTAGTGTTTGGGTTAAAATATTTGGTTGGTAAGAAGTTTAGATAAGAGTGAAAGTCAGATTTAGGGTGGCACATGGAGGTAGATTGGTGGAAGAGGAAGCAAGGAGGTGGAGGTTTTAGGGGTTCAGATCAGGAGATTAAACAGTTACAACTGCAAAGATATCTTAAGGGTTCTTTTGGGGTTGTTACTAGATTGGAGGGAAAATAGGGTTAAAGAAGACAGGATAGTTCAGAGATATCATTCTTGAGGAAAAGAATGTGCAGAAAATAGGAGTGTGAGTTCAATGCCAGGATTGTAAGAGAGGGTGAAAGTGGAGTTCTCAATACCAAAGCTTAAGGATGTTAAGTTAAAAGCCATTAACATTTAGAATTTTAGTCTTGCTTCTTATTCCAGTGTTTAGGAAGGTTGTCTTGCAAGCGTGAATCACCAAGAGGATTATTCCTAAGGGAGTTCTATGGTAGGGTTGATTTGCATGGGATTGAAAGTTTTGTGACTGTTTTTTTTATGACCATGCAATAGGAGTTTGTCATTCAAGAGGCTTTAGACGAACATGACAAAAATGGTGATGGATTTGTTAGTTTGGAAGAATTTCTTGGTGACTACAGGCGGGATCCAAGTAAGTAGTAGTCTGGGCAAGTGTGGCGGTTGGGGAGGGGGAGGTGGGAACAGAATTTAGGAAGAAAATTGAAACAGCCTTGATCATTTAGAGTTCTGTTTAACAGAGGAAACAGAAACAAAAAAACCTATGCCTGATTTCACTTGTTCTGCTGACTTAAATACAATATAGTACAAGTGAAATGATTTATCGCTTATCTGAGAATGCTGGTGGTTCATTTTAGTTCCATGTCCAGATTCAATCATTTTTCTTCCTTTCCAAACAAATATAGTTACCAATTCAAAAGAGTGAGAAAGTGAAAGTTGATAGTTTTTAATAAAATATATACCTTTTGTTAAAAATAAGTGGATCTTAAGAGCTTGCGTATACAGCCCTTTCTATAAGTAGCTCTTTTCAGAATTGTTGTTTAAAAGCATCTTACTGCGAATGTTAATTTTTTTGAGATAAGTGATTCAGAGGCTCAGGATCACACCCACTCAGATGAATGTCCCCACACCACACTCCCCATTGTCCAGTGCTCCCCGTCCCCACCTTGCTCCTCCATCCTCCCCATCTTATAGCTCAAGTGAATGTCACTTTAAAATTATACAGGGGATTATTTTGTAAGAACCCTTAGGAAGCTTTGTATAGTCACATGATGTATATAAATGTTAATCTGCTCAAATTTGGGAAGGCCAGCCAAACAAGTAGCAGCAGTTAACAGAATAGTTATGATTATATGCATCAGTTTAAAAACTCTTGAATTGTTCAGACTTATGAGTTACTTTTGTAATTACTATATAGTTTGTACCTATTTCGTGGCTTTTCTGTTAAGTAGATCTGTTTCATTGGCTTCCTTTATGTAGTAAGCTTTAAATTTACTTCTCTTATTCTAGGGCTACAAGCTTTTTATTGGATATATGTGATGTTCTTAAGTATGTATATTTGTGTTTTTTACATATTAAAGCAGCAAATGAAGATCCAGAGTGGATACTTGTTGAGAAAGATCGATTCCTAAATGATTATGACAAAGATGCCGATGGCAAACTTAATCCCCAAGAGCTGCTGTCTTGGGTGGTACCCAATAATCAGGGCATTGCACAAGAAGAGGTGAGTGTTACTGAGTGACTGTCTCCCCAAATTTGGTGCAACTGGTACAAGAGGAAGTTTAGAATTTTAAGCCAAAGAAAGAAGTAAGAAATTACTTATTTAAAAAAATAAATAAATAAAATCAGTGCATTGCTGTTTATTTTTTTCTCTTTTTTATGGTGGTCATACTACTTTACAGCACTGTATAGGGTTCAGGTGTATAGTTTCTTACTTCAGCAACTGTAGGTATCATTCCGTCCCCACTGCCAAGTATCCAGTCACCATCCACCACCAACTAGCACCTATTCCCGCCACACCTTCCCTCTGGTAATCACCGTCCTACTGTCAAGCCTCTTAGTGTCTATTGTGCTTTGTTCGCTTATTGCTTTTTTCTACAAGTAAGTGAAATTAAACAATACCTGTCTTTCTCCTCTGACTTAATTCACTAAGCACGATCCCCTCAAAGTCAATGGCAGGGTTCCTTTTTTTTTTTAAATAACTGAGTAGTGTTCTATTGTGTGTATATATCTCTTCTTCTTTATCCAGTCATCTGTTGATGTGTATTTCAGTTGTTTCCAAATCTTGGCCCTTGTAAATAGTGCTGCAGTGAACATAGGGGTGCATATGTCTTTTCAAATTAGTGTTTTCTTATAATTTGGGGAGGTACCCACAAGTGAGATTATTAGATCATGTAGTTTATATTTTTAATTTTTGAATAATCTCTATTCCGTTTTCCATAGAGGCTGCAGTCATTTACATTCCTCCCAGTTCTGCACAAGGATTCCTTACCCGCACTTATAAATGTCCATTTATATCCTCTGCCCATTTTTCTATTTTTTTAAATTGAGGTAGCATTGGTTTACAACACTGCATATGATTTAGGGGAACAGGTTCACACCTCCTCTAAGGTATGTCACTGCACCACCACCCCCACAGTCCTTTACAATCCCTCTCTAGTCTCTACCCATTTTTTAATTAAGTTGTATGTTTTGCTATTTCTTGATTTAAATCTATGAATATTTAGGTTGTAAGAGTGACAAACGAGTTAAGACTGCATCATATATTAATTTGATAGTTAACAAATAATAGATAATAAAATTTTGTATGTACCTAATGCCTCTAGGTGGGTTATATTAATTTTGCTTAACTTTGAGATATTTGAAAGAAAATTGAATGAGTGAGAGGCAGGACCCAACAGAAATTAAGGAGATAATGAGAAAAGCCATAGACTTTTATAATATGTAATACTTATACATATTATAATATGTATATTATAATATGTATATGTATTATAATATGTATACAGTTATAATATGTAATACTTTGGGATATTTAGACATTAATAAGTATTTGACACACCCGAATGGTTTTGACAAATCAAATCACATTTAAATGTGAAACATCTTACTGAAATAATCTTTTGGTTTGGTTTTGTTTTAAAGGCTCTTCATCTAATTGATGAGATGGATTTGAATAGTGACAGAAAACTCTCTGAAGCAGAGATTCTGGAAAACCAGGACTTGTTTCTTACGAGTGAAGCCACAGATTATGGCAGACAGCTTCATGATGAATATTTTTATCACGATGAGCTCTAATTCATGGGTATATCTGAGTAGAGTACTGGCTTCTTTTATAATTTGTTACCAGCTTTACTTTTGTGATACAACTTTGTGTTATATTTTACACTCTTAAGTCTTATCACAGTCAAAATTATCTTAAGGTAGAATATAATTTTGGCCTTTTAGGAAAAACAAAAACCAAAAAACTGATAATTTATTTCAAAACATCAAAGAGATAAAACAGTTCTGTGCCATATGACAACAGTCTTTCTTAAATATTCATTCTATTTAGTACTGTATTGTGGAATATATGAGTTCTATTTCCATACTTGAAAAAATGGAGGATTTTAGACATGCCTGAACAATATTATTTAAGTAGTATGTGACTGCGCTATTAATTTTTGTTTAGTTTTAAGTAGACTTAATTTGGGAACTGACAGAAAGGAAATTGTTTTTAGATTTAGCATTTTGTTTTAAAACCTTAAAAAAGGAACCTTTAGAAGAACTTATATCTCACATATTAATGTTGAGAAGTTCTGCTTAATTTTAAAGTGGTTTCTATAAAAGGTTTTATTGTATGAAATAGAACTTTATATTTTTGCATATGTATAGATAGTAATTATATTTAATGTGTAACTATAGCATTATGGTGTGTGGAATTTGACATTGTCCAGAAGTCTTTTCATTTTTGACTGATTAAAAATGAAATGTCCTATCTTTTTATATGTTTGTTTTTTCTTTTTTAATCTTCCAGATAAACCATGAATTTCACATAGGTTTTGTTGTGTTATCCATTCCTGGTTTCACATATAGGAGAAACATAGGGAGACAATACAAGGGATCAAAAAAGGAAAACAACTATAAATTGGAGGGAGAGGGATCAAAATGGAAGGGAAGAGCATAAAAGTCTATGAGGTGGTTCACAGGTATCTTCGAGGTGGTAATTTTATGGGATTACACCTGAGAGGAGAAATCAAACATTGTACAAAAATGAACAACGATGTACAAATATATAAATAAAAATTTTAAAAGTTAGCATTCTACATTCAGTGTGATATCATGAGATACAAAAATTTTTATGACATTATTAGTGTTCACCAATAGCTGTGTGGCTTAAGTTCCTGGCATAAAGAAAATTTACTCACTCCCCAACTTCCTCGCAGGTAAGCAATGGCTAGTGGTGACCAGTTGAATGTGAGTGGAAGTGGTGTGTGTCACTCCCGGACTTGGCCAGTGACAAACCCACTTCTTTTGTTAATGGCATCGCAGGGGAAGCCTAAGTTTAGAATGGGAAAATCAAAGTGACCTTGATTTCTCAGGGACTACAAAAAGTTCAGCTAGACTCTCAGTTGATTTTATATGATTGAAAAGTAAACTTCTGGGGCCTCCCTGGTGGCGCAAGGGGTTAAGCTGCAGCACTATGAAGCACCCTACAACCACTGCAGCACGAGTTCTATCCCTGCCAGGGAGGTGAGCCACATGGTGCAGTAAACCTCTCCTGACTCGCCCGCTGCTCCCCTCAGCAGTGTATTTCGGTCGATCCGCCTGTTCTGCTCCCCACTCTGTCTCTGGTGAATCGTCTCACCCCTGGTACTTCTGGCCTGTACCCCAGTTCTTGTTTGCATGAATAAATAAATCTTTAAAAAAAGAAAAAGGAACTTCTATATGTTAAGCCACATATTTTGGTGTGTTTTGTCTAAACCACAGCAGAACTTACCCTACTGAGTGAAGATTTATAAGCTTACAGAGAAAATCATCTATATTCTATATATTCCACCAATTCAAAATAGAAGTGCTTTATCTTAAGGTTTTTATTTGGGCTTACTTTTAAATAAGCTTCTTTAAAAATCAAAGCTTTTATTTTGATCCTAACAGAATTAGGATAATTTGATTTTTTTCCTTATAGCATGAGAATAAAAACAGAATGAGGTTTCTGAATTTTCTCATTCTGACTGAAGGATTTCATCACTTACATTGTTTGACTTAAGGTGCCACTTAAGATAGAAAAGCTAATGGGATTTGCACAAATCAGTTTATATGTGATTCTGATTGAGGAAATTCACAGGACAGAATGACTGTCAAGTTAGTGATAGGAACTTAATGGAAGCCAGGACTGAAACTGCCGTGACTTGTTTGCCTTAGTTCCCTTTGGAGTTACATAGTTTTAAAAATAGACTTTAAAAAGCAGGGTAAGCTCACAGCAAAACTGCAAAAAGTACAGTGATTTCCCAATACATGCTGCTCCCCATATATGTACAGCCACCCACTATCAGAATCCTGGACCAGAGTGGTGTATTCACTACAAAAGATGGACTTCCTTCACGCGTTACCACCCCAGGACCATTGTTTACATGAGAATTCAAGCTTGGGGTGTATATGTCCTGTGGATTTGTACAAATGTGCCATGACATGATCCGCTGATACAGTATCAAACAGCAGTTCCACTGCCTTAAAATGCTCTGTTCACCTCTTTGACCCTACTCCATCCCCAATCCATGGCAAACCCTGAACTTACAGGCACCCTAGTTTTGCCTTTTCAAGAATGTCATCATGTGACTTTTCCAGATTTCCCTGCAGTTTTAAATATAAGAATAAATTGATAGGGGCCTCCCTATAAATTATAAATTATAGGGAGACTATAATTTATTGTCTCAGCGCTATCACCACCAAGATGGCTTGAGTTCAATCCCCAGCCAGGGAGCTAACCCGCATATGGCATAGCAGACCTCTCCCGTCTCACCCTCTGCTCCCCTCAGCAGCGTATTTCAGTGGATCTGCCTGTTCTGCTCCCCACCCTATCTCTGGTGAATCCTTTCACCCACCTCATCCCCTCCCCCACACCTCTAGCCTACACCCCAGTTCTTGTATACTTAATAAATCTTTACCAAAAAAAATTTTAAAAGAATAAATTTATATTAATGGTTATGATTTTTGTGTTAAAATATTTCCTTGTGAGAAAATCCTACTTAAACTTTCAATGATATCTTTTCATTTGGAAAATTAAAACTTAGGAAAGCCAGTTAAGTCAAAAGTTTTAAACAGTGTAATAACTAATGTGCTTCATTTCAACTTTGAGTTTTTGTGGACTATTTTGTCAGATTTCCTGGCTGATACAAAATTTTTTACAACTGATAATGTGAGTGGCTCAATTATCTAAGGGTTCTAGAGTAGCTACTAAAGCATCTCCATTTTATTTAGGGAAAAATGAATCTAAATACAAAGAAAAACAAGTACAAAGAAATACTTTGAGTTGGCTATAGCTTGACTTCAAATTAATCACACACCGCTGCAAAAAGGAAACCATTTGAATGTATAGAACTAAAGTGGTTAAAGAGATTTTTAAAAATCACACAACCCTTTTTTTTAATTTTTTTTATTTTTATATTCCCCATACAATTGCACCCTCCTTATTTTGACCCCAATTACTCCTTCCCCCCACCATCGTGTCTGATTCATAGTTGTTTGTTGATTTTGATTTTTTCTTTTTTATAGTTATTCCTTTCCCTGGTCCCTTATTTAGGTTTTCTAGATTTCTGCTATGAGTGAGACCATCCGATATTTTTCTTTTTCTTTCTGGCTTATTTCACTGAGCATGATCCCTTCCAGCTCCATCCATGTTGCTGCAAATTGCGTGTTTTTATCTTTTTTGAATGCTGAATAATATTCCATAGTGTATATGTACCACATCTTCTTGATCCAGTCATCTATTTTTGGGCATTTGGGTTGTTTCCATAGCTTGGCTATTGTAAATAGTGCTGCAATAAACATAGGGGTGCAGGTGCCCTTTTGAATTAATGTTTCTGTGTCCTTTGGGTAAATACCTAGGAGTGGAATTGCTGGATCATATGGAAGCTCCATCTTTAGCAGGTTGAGGAATCTCCACACAGCTCTCCGTAGTGGTTGGATCAGTTTGCACTCCCACCAGCAGTGCAGGAGAGTTCCTTTTTCTCCACATCCTTGCCAACATTTGTTGTTGCTAGTTTTTTTAATTTGTGCCATTCTCACTGGTGTAAGATGGTGTCTCATTGTAGTTTTGATTTGCATTTCCCTGATTACAAGTAAAAATCACATAATCTTTAATCTTGGTTTCACAGACCGCAAAAAAGCACTCTTTTTTTGGGGGGGTTTCCAACAGAAGGCATCACTATTTTGCTCTGTTGCACCAATAGCAGTGGTTGGTTAACACAGGTTAAGAGCACATCCCATTGGAAGGATACAGTAAGAGAAAAACAAAGGTCTCTTGTGCCAGCAGCCAGCTGTTTGAATTGCTACTTTGTTGTTATAACTAATGACTTATTATAAGTGAGGGATTTTGTGAGACTAATGAAAGAGGATTGCATTTAATTATTGGTTGCCCCCCTCGTGGTAAGGAATGGGAAGCTAAGCTAAACAGGCTAGTTATGATGACAGTACTGACAGTTCCTTCCATCCTATATAATTAGTCTATTGTCTCTACTTCTTCAGCCCTTCCAATTCATATGCCCCAGTAGCTCGCAAAACTCTCCCAATTGCCAAACAATCCACAAAAGCAAAACAGTAATTACTACATGCTCAGAAGGGGGAAGAGGCAACAATGTCCTGATATTTAATAAAATTTCATATGTGGCAACAAAAAGAATAACCGTTTATCTAGAAGTCAATATTATCCCACAATGTTTGTTGTTTGAATGGAATATAAACTTCTTGAGGGTTGCAGTGCCTGGTATGTGTTTAGCACACAGGAGAGATTTACTAAACAAACTTAGAAATGAAATGGTACAAGATGAGAGAGAGCTAACATAACTGGTTTGTTTCTGTAATTGTATTTTTTCCCCTTATGTCTTCATCTGCTTTTGCCTTGTGGTTACTATATTCTTTATCTCTTCGGATATTTATATACATTTATTTTCAGTTATCTTGTTAATTCTAGTTGTAGCCCCTTTGTTCGTCTACAGACTGCCTCGCTGTGGTTTTGCAGACTTTGAATTTACTAGTGAGAGTTATTATCATGGATGGCTGGTGTGCCCAGGATGGCAGAAGGGTCCCTCGTTAAGTCCTGTGAGTTTTAGTTCTAGACTGGTTTGTGTTTGAATCTATAGACTGAAGTGTTTGGAGTAGCATTTAGTCACCATGATGACCAGAAGCCCTGGTGTTCATTTATTGAAAAAGGTGATTTTATGTGACTAAAAACTAGGAGTGTATAATAAAGCAAAAGCTTTATAAAATGGGGACCTTCCTGGTGGCCTAGGGGTTAAGTCTCAATGCTATCACCTCTATGGCCTGAGTTCGATCCCTGGCCAGGGAGCTGACCCACATATGGCACAGCTGACCTCTCCTGTCTCACCCACCACTCCCCTTAGCAGCATATTTCAGTAGATCTGCCTGTTCTTCTGTTCCTAACTCTATCTCTGGTGAATCCTCTTGCCCCCTGCACCTCTGGCCTGTACCCAGTTCCTCTATGTATAAATAAAATAGAACAAATCTTAAAAAAAAAAAAAACTATGCAAAGTGCATAATACAATCTTATATGCTTTTAAAATAAAAATTCAATGTGCAGATTGTGAGGAAAAGTCCCATTACTGGTTGGATTCATTTGCACTTATTTCTTAGGCTGCCATGAGGACAGAGCAAACCAGAGACCAGTTGTCAACTAAATGGCCTATCTGAAATTCTTAAGATTCCTAGAAGAATAATGATGGGGACATGCCAAAGGACACCAGAGTAGACTTGTAAGGGTTCCCTCTGGTCACATAGAGTGCAAATGAACAATCAAAATAAATCATGAAAATAAATTACAAATGTTTAAAATAAAATAAGAATCTATGAGTCTGTGACATAAAGTAATAAATTCAATTAAGTTAACAGAAAGGGAACACTTCCATACAGCAAGATGCCAACTAGTAAATGTGGAGTGAGCGATGGCATTAGAAAATCATCAGTGGGTGCCAGAACTAGTGGATGAAAGCTTGACGAGGAACACTGTAGTTTCAAAGCATCCCTTCACAAATTGCTTTTTCATTACATAGAGAAAAACAGTAACTTTGAAATCT